TGATAATTACTGTTCAAAACTAGTCTCAGTAGGCAAAATGCCCAAATTAAAGTTTTATCGCAATTGTTATTGCAGCAGTTTCGTAGATCCTGGCATCTATAAATGTTATGTTTAAAAAGCAAATATTTTAGACATTACATTCTGCATTACATTATGCATCAGTGCGAAAACTCTGATTTAAAATTTGTTTACTAAAGCTTCGAAAGTCATTCAATTGTTGCAAACTCAGCCAATGCCAGTCAACCCTTTCTAAAAAAAAATATAACACGAGTGTAAGTATGTATGTAGGGGGTTTGACCAGCGGTCATGAAGTTATCTGTTGCTGCCCTTACATTGCCTCCCATTGTACTTTATTTTCTCTTCGCTAAGTAAGTTAATCGATTAAAGGAAGTTACACGAACCGACTTTAGTTTCTCTCTTCTTCACTTTGTTATGTTGCATAGTTTCCAGGCACAAGCTGGCCGCATGTATAGTATGAAATTTTTACCATTTTGTTTGAGCGTTAATACCAAACGAGTATTCGTTATATACTTACGATAAAGAATATGCCCCTAAAAATATTGATATACATACATTTAAGGATCGTCTGGTGTGTGTATATAATTTTTCGACTGTCCTGTAAAGTTTAAACTTTGCCTTTAAAGCGATAATAAAATATGTGTGTATGTACATATACATACATATAAAATTTCGAGTTTCTTTTTTTTATATCTTTTGTTCTATGGCAGATGTACATATATATAGATGTATGCATGTATGTATTTAAGTTAGCTTTTTACCAGAGCCATTTTCGTACAAAGCATTAAATTTACTGACACTGCCAGTGGCACAAATTGCTCGCTGGCTCCAAATTATAGGTTCTCCCTCAATAACGGAGCACGGCTTTTGTAATCATAAAAAGACAACGAATAAACGCAAGAGTAAGACAGGCAAAGTTTGAGCGAAACAGACATTAGATATTCGGATGTTATTGAAATTCGTAGTCGTACTTTCAGAAATGAAGTTATCGATGCGATCGAGTTCAGATACTGAAGAAAATTTAAAAATTTAATTTCGAGATTTATTTGTATGCTTTGAAAAACATGAATAAAATAACTATAATTTTTCGCGAATTTATAAAACTCTTTTATGTGTAGAATAACTTTATTTGTGGAGTGATGTCATCAACGCTGCCTAGGGTTTTGTGAGACCCAACTTATACTCATAAGCTTGTTAAGTTGCGATCATTCAACATTTCTTCAACGCTCACATTTTTTTCTCAATTACCATCCACAACAGTTTCGATTATTTCTGACTTTATTTTTAGCCACCAGCTAAACAAAATGGATATGCCATGTGTGCACACTGTATAGCTGGGTATACAAATAATATCGGGAAACAAGCTTTACCTCTTACAACTGACGGCATTCCAATACCTATTTATTTGTATTCGTAAATATGTATATGAATATGGTGTCCTGTACAATAATTTGGTAACCTCTTCAGCGAAAATAAGTAAATATATATATTTATTGTTGAATTCTTCCCTGTAGTGGTTGTTAATTTTACATATGTTTATATGGATGTATTAGATAAATTGCTGGTTATTTTACATTCACTTTTCCAGCAGATCAGGTTGTGAGCATGAGCGTGAAGTGTTAACATTTTACACTTGCATATATATATGTATATATTTTTTTTTTAAACTGCTCAATGCAGTTGATTTTCAGTTAGTAAAACTGATTACATATTTCTGGTTCTTACTGGTTTTATTATTATCACCTTCTGCTTCCAACAGGTTCAATGGTTCTTGATGCACGTCTAGCCTGCGATTTATTTTAAAAATATTACAAAGTGGTGTAGCCTTCGTTTAAGTTCCTAAAAAAAGCTTAAGAAATAAGTACGGAGGGAAACAATCAGCCAGCTAATGAAAAACATAAAAATTAATAATTTTTATTTGTCAAATATTTCTGTATTCGTTACACTTTTGACATTTATATAAAGAGATTGTTTAAATATTAAATATATATAGTAAAGCTTTACGCAAATAATTTTAGAAATAATTCACTCATTTACTAAATATGCTGAAATCATTTTAATAAACGAGACGAGAGTTGCAATATTTGACACAGTATCAAATTCAAATTTCGCCCCTGACAGACGGCACAAATGCGCATTAAGTTGTCTGCTGATATGCCAAAAGCTTTAATCTCAAAACAAAATGGAGAAATAACAAACAAATTTGTAGTTGTCTTATTTGAGCAAGATAATTACTTTTTCCAAAGAAATCTTAAAAATAAAAATTTTTAAGAATATCAAATTCATACACGATATTTCATGTTGGGAGTGTTTCTATTCTTTAGATATTATTTTTTTCATTGTTTGTCTTTTGTGTGCATATCCTTCTCCCATGCACTATTGCGAAAGCAACCATCAAATAAGGCAGCATTGCCACATTAAACTTCGCAAACGCAGTTTAAATGCACAAGATTTTATTACATTCTTATCTGCATATAGAAGTGAATAACTAACGACTTAATGGAAATATAGTCATCTTATACAGATAACAACAACCTTATAGTTAAGCCAACAGATTGCACAAATCTTTAATCAAATTTAGTAATGAGTTAGCTCAAGTTAACTCTGGGCACATTTGCAACTATAGCATTTTTCTTAGAAGGTAAGAATTTCTCGTCGCTGCAGTTGGGAATTTCTGCATAGGTTGCACAAAGTATTAGCTAATGGGGATCATTTGATTGATATGTTTTGTGAGGCACTTCGTTTTACTTCTTTCAACTCCAGGGTTAACCTGGTGCATACTGTGTGTATGCTTATGTGGCGGACGTACTGAGATGCTCCCGTTATTAGCCTTAATACTTTGGGTTGGCACCTCTGTATTTTTTACAATATTGATATTCTCAAAAATATTTTCTAAAGTAGTTTTTGAGGAATATTGCGGTGGTGATAGTCTTTGGTCGGATAAGATTCCGGTATAAAGACCCGGCTTTCATTGAACTTTTAAGTTTTAGTCGCTTCTTAAGACTGGCATGTCTTCCCACGAGAAATTTCTATGGTAGCGTAGGCCACACAGCTCCACAGTTGAAATTCATGTATAAGTACCTTGCAAATCTAGTTTTACCCAAACTTTATGTGTAGAAGATAATTTAAACTGCCTGCTTTTAACTTCATTTGCAAAATTTTGATATCTAAATATGCATTTGTCTTTCCCAGATGAGCTTTATATCTAAGTTTATGCCGATGTAGGCTACATCAAATATTTTTATCACTTAATCTAAATATTTATATAACTCGCGCTTTGTAACCGCTGAAGCAATTTTCGGCCGAGCTCAGATTATTCTAAGCCGGCTCCGAACTGGGGATGGTTTGTTTATGAAGAGCTTTATATCATGTCAGAAGTACACTCGGAGGACACTCCCTGCCGAGGGACGACCGTAGCTAGAAAATTTAGCTTAATTTTTTATTTATATTAATTTTCTATAACTTTTGGATGTTGGTCCCACGGGGATTTGAACCTGAGCCTTCCGAATGGCAGTATGCCATGCTAAACACTTGATGAAAAGAAAATGGTACCTAATCGCTTTTGATCCTTTTCTATCCGATCCTGACCTAAGAAGGCTATCTTGAGGAATACCACGTTTTACTGAAACCTTCTTAATGATAAATTCCAATTGGTTCACGGTCAACTGTATGTTAGACAAGATATGACTCACATACATATGAATTGTAGTATTGGATAGGCCAAGTTTTATAAATTTTGTACTAAAGAACTTATGCCAAAATTTGTCGAACGCTCTTACTGCGTCAAGAAATATTATATTCCACAGTTACACTCCTTGAAATCAAAAGCCTTCCTAATTTAATTAGTAATCCGGTTGATTCGTTCTACAGTACCATTGTTATTCACGGAAACCGAAACAGCTTACTTGTATCACTTCGATATTCTCCATCGTATCGAAGTGATAAAAGAATATAACTTTGAAATTTGAATTCTTTCGAATAATTTGCAAATACCGAGTAGTGGTCTTATTAGTCTGTACGAAGATTTCTGTGTGAAGCCTTTACCCGACTTGACAATCATTATTGCTTGCGAGTTTTTCCACACGTTTGGAAAATAATTTAGTTTCGAAATGGCAAAGAGTTCGAGTGCACTTCTTGTTCAGTACAACAAGGCCATAGTGTGCAGATTTCTTTAGTCACCTGAGTTTCAAGGTCGTTCTCTATTAAGAGGCGAACCTAGTGTAATGGCCTAAAAAAGATGATTTTTGGGAATTTTTATTAAAAAAAAATACTTAATCAATTATTTCAAAATTTTAAGAATACAGATATAGTGAAATTTTTAAGAAAAAATTAAATATTTTTTAAGTTATAGTCGATCTCCAACAGCGCGAAAAAAGGTCCTTCACTTCTGCAGTGATTCAGGCCTTCTCCGTAAATGAAATCTAAAAAAAATTCTTTACTGGATAATTTTGTCTGTACAATGACCTACGATGAAGAAAATCAAAAATAGACAATATGGCGGTGTTTTAAAAAAATAGTCAAATTTTACCCAAAATTTTGGTCGTTTTTGGCCTGCCAAAATTAGATTTCTTGGTCGGATCAAAAATCGATACGTCATTGAAGAAGTCGTTCTGCCTGCCCATCTCTCCGGCACTGAAATTAAACATAATCGAACTTTTATAACAAAGTGGGTGCTTTTAAATAATAACTAAAGGATTGTAAATGGCAAAAGAATGTGTTTTAAAAGTTATTTAGCTAGTAATATTTAAACCTAAAATACTGTATTAGAGAAATATGACTTCGGAAGACTGGCTTAGTCTATATCCATTTTCCCCTTTTTGGTATATGAAATTTGAGCTTTCAATTTTTCTTTCCTTTTCAAAATTTCTCTTTTTGGTTAGGTTCGGCTTATCCCCAATGTTGCCTATTAATTGATTTTACAAATGTTTTCAATCTTATAAAACAATCTTAATAATGGCAATTTGTTTTATTTTTATTTTCAGATAAAGAACAACATAGAAACACTAATTAATTGAAGAATTGTGTGCGATTATTTCGCCTTCGAATTCGTCAGACATCATGGATCCCGATTGTTTTGCAATGTCTTCTTATCAATTCGTTAATTCACTTGCCTCTTGCTACCCTCAGCAAATGAATCCACAGCAAAATCACACAGGCAATCCCAGTGGCGGAGCAAATGTTGCGACCAGTAATGGAGTTCCCGGAGCGGGTGGAGGAGGCGGCAGTTCTGGTGGCCAAGGTAACTCTGGACCCGGCACTCCGGGTGGTAATGATTACTTCCCTTCTGCTGCTGCATATTCACCGAATTTATATCCCAATACACCACAGGCGCATTATGCCAACCAAGCAGCTTATAGTTTAGGGGGAGCCGGCGGTGGTGGACAACAGAATCCTGATATGGTAGATTACACACAGTTACAGCCACAACGATTGCTACTACAACAACAGCAGCAGCATGCACATGCGACGGCGCAACATGCTGCTCAACAGCAACAACAACAACAACAAACACATCCTCAACAACAACAACACCCGCAACAACAACCAACACAACAACAAACAAATATTAGTTGTAAATATGCCAATGACCCCTCAACGCCCACCGGAAATAATAACAACACTAACGCCAACAATAACAATACAAGCGCACAATCTCTAGCCAGTCCACAAGATCTCTCCACGCGAGATATCTCACCGAAATTGTCACCCACATCAGTAGTGGAGAGTGTGGCCAGATCATTAAACAAAAGCGTACTTGGTGGTAATCTAGCTGTGGCGGCAGCTGCAGCCAACATAACCAACAACCATGGCGTTGTGGGTGGTAGTGGCGGTCCTGGCGTAAATGTCAACGTCAACGTAAATGTGCCAATGCATAGTCCTGGCGCAGGTGATTCCGACTCGGAAAGTGATAGCGGCAATGAGGCTGGGAGTAGTCAAAACAGTGGTAACTGTAAGAAGAATCCGCCGCAGATTTATCCTTGGATGAAGAGAGTACATTTAGGACAAAGTAAGTCAATTGCATATTTACAACTATTTGTACATAGGTAGTCTTACATATGTACATATATACATTTTATCATTAATTGTAGGATTTCGCGGTTACTATAAAATAATCTGAATTGTTCATCAGGTCTGCACCAAAATAGTCCTAATTGAAATTATTATTGAGGGAAATTAGTTCAGAGAACTAACAAATGTATACGCGCATAAATATTACTATACGTACGTGTGTATGTATGTACATATATCACACCTGTCTGCTATGCCACGATCGAATAAATCATGTAAACATATAATCCACTAAATTTTTTTAATAGAAGTTCGATATTAAAGCGCCCAAGAAGGCGAATGAAATATTCAAACTTCAATAACTCGTATCCTCAACTTTCATCGCGGCATTGTGTCAAAACAAATAAACAATTCATTCATGGCACTTATGCATTCTCGCACTCTCATCGCCAGCTGACTGTGCGAAGAGGTAAGTGTCAGCACCACCGCAACGGGAAAGCTCAACGGTACTCGCTTATCATATATTTGTTTATGTATGTGTGCATGTATGTACATAAGGCGTACTGGTGCGAACGCTACGCACTCGTGTGCCAACACCCACTCAAACAACTACCATGGAAATGGAAAATTAGCGTGATACATTCATGTATATATATATATATGTACATATATATGTATGTACATATATATGTATATGTACTAACAAGCACATTGAAATTCGTAGAACATTATTCAGTATAGTAAATAATTTCTATTTTAAATTATACACACTTTCTGTGCGTGAGTTGTGATCGAGGAAAATGATCAACGATTTTTCTTCATGTCAGAGAATGTTCAGCAATTTTCCCTTTCTTTCTCCACCAAGTTCTTTTTACAGACTTCTTCACTACTAGCTGAATGGTATTCAGAGCATGGCCCATTGACGGACAGATATAAAGAAATTCATTCACTTTTTACATAAACTGGACGAAAAATATAGTTCAGATCTGAAGAGGAATATGCGTTTAGAAGGCACAAACACTTTTCAGTGGCAAGAACAGCCAGACAAATTGACTCACTGCAGGTCAAAAAAGTGTTTATATATGAAATGTATAGGGAACAAACCATAAACAATGTGTAATGTGTAAATGTGTATGTTTTGTGGTATACACAATACCAAACAAAATCGATAATAGACCAAAGTGGCAGGCCGTTTTCTTAACACCCGCACAATAGTTTTGAATATTTGTTTTGTTTAGATTTATACTTTTGTGCTGATAACACTTCTTTAATCATAAATAATCAGAAAAATGTCTAAATTGAACAAATAAAAAAAAACCTTTCCTAAAAATAAAACCATCGAAAAATTAAAATGTAAAATTTTGTGAATATTAACGTTAACGTTTAGTTATCAAAATACATTTCCTTTCGTTTTTACCCGACACGAAAAGTTGTCGTCAATGTTTAATCGTTAATAGATAATGTTGAACGTTAAAATTGAAGTGTTAAATCAAAGCCATTTTAAAATTGACGTTAACGACGAGTTTTGTGCGTTTTCAACATTAACGATTTCATTTCGTTTTGATAACATGGCGCCGAAACGGAACGATTTCATTTTGTTAAATCTTTTTTCTTGTTAGTGATACAGAATGATATCGTTGCGTTTGTTGACCACCTCTGATATAATTATATATGTATATGCGTACTGCCACTTGGAATATTTATATATATTTGGCGTTTGGCGACTTTCGGCCGAGCTCTTCTTCCAATTTGTGGTTTTGCGTCTTGATGTTTTTCTAACAAATACTAAGCCTCCGAACGGTTCATGCTTTTTTTTATGAGGAGCCTAGATTTCATGTCAGAAATACACTCGGAGGGGTTGATATTTCCTGCCCAGGAGCGACCGCGATTAAAATTTTTTATTTAAATTAATTTTCTATAACTGTTTGAATGTTATTACGACACCAGGATTTGAAGCCGAGCCTTCCAGATACTGCTGTACGTATTGCTAACCATTCGGCTACCGCGACTGAGGTGCTGTCGATAGTAAATATGAGCATTGTAACCGCGGTAAACGCTTTGGCCGCAAGCATTACAAGCATTAAAGGTAACACAAGTCAAGGAAAGCCAACACAGAATATTTATCATTTCTCAATTATAACATTACTTCATTTCTTGTTTTTTTTACCAACACGTAGTTTTTTCATTCTTACGTTAGGAATTTTTGTCCTTATTTTCATTTTTATGTGGTACAATCTTCGAAGTATACCCTAACTATTAAATAAATCAACAAAATCATTCCCTCTTTCCTACCTCTTGTCAAAATCGAAATATTTGGCAACAGGATATGAGATGAATGAATCATCCCACCATTCCTGGCAAATTTTAAAGAATTCTCAATCCAATAATAAGAAAATTATCAAAATGGGACTACTGTGTAAAAATATATGCTGGATTACACGTTGAAAAAAGTAAATCATCCTCACTTTCCCAGCTCTTTGGTAATATTTTCCCCAAAAATATCTGGGAGACCCGTTTGAGGGTATTTCCTATCCAATACAAAAAGTTTTATCGAAATAACTCTTCATGGCACCGTGAAATACCCCTCCATCGATGGAAACCATATTTTTCGTCGGTTAAAAACACACAAAACTTCGAAAGCAAAACTCGGCTTGATATACATACATTATATATAAATATACGCACTTTATAATCCTTAAAAATTCTGCTTTGCATCCAGAAACAAACTCAACGCTAAAGATAGCAAAGTCTCCATCGATTGGAATTCATGAATTGCCACTTGCAATAATTCTCTAAAAGAAAAACTATATTAGTTTAGCAGCTGGAAAAATCGACCACTGACGCAGGGACTGGAATTTGTCTGAAACAACTACTGAGTGTGGATTCCACTGCACTGTCTTTAAGTATTAAGTTGTAGTTAAGTATCTCTAAATGAAAAAAATAAATGCAGCAATTTATTAATAAATTAAACGAAGTTAATGAAATTAATATACGATATTAATATGAATGAATGTAGATATATTTTCTAATTTACAAGACAAATAGCACCTAAGCACTGCATCAACAAATTTTCAATTTTCCGCAGCTAAGAAAATTACAAATCGGTTTCGTGCTCCACAATCAGATACCAACAAAGCAAGAAGTCAAGATGCTGCAGAAAAATTGTTCAACGAACTAAGCGAAATGTTTATAAAAAAGTGAAAATTATACGCACAGGCAAAACCAAAATTCATAAAGCGTTCACTTGTATTCAAATATATATACAATAGGTACGAGTATTTTGGTATATTGTATAAGTATGTGGAGTATACCGTAAATACATACTATAAATACATTTGAATAAATATCAAAATTTTACTTAAATAATTATATTTTTATTCTCATATACAATACATATACGATTGTGTGTAACATCTGGGAGGCATTCACAAATAATGGCAAAGTAATTATTAGAAAATTGCATTATTTGATGCGATAAAAGTAGCGCAGGCAGAAAGTGTTCTAAATATATATGTATGTGTAGAGGTATGTAAATATATGTACATGCATCATAAATGAAATAAACAACCAATTGTGGGTGCTTCAAAATCCATTGTGACTCTTTAAATGCATTTCATTTCATTTCGGTCTACAAACTATGTTAAAAAGTAATTAAGTATTGCTGAAGCATGGAAAGTGGTCATGATAGAGTAGAATTTCAGTCCCAGTCAGGACAGCAATGCTCATTCATGCTTTTGGTTCAATTTGAAATGACCGTGGCGTGCATTTCTTAACTTCATTTTAATTAAATTAAATGGTCAGAAAATATGCATACATATATATGTATGTACATACATACGAGTGTATGATGTTCCTTTAATGCCTTATTCACCTTAGAGGAGTACACCAAATTACGTTCTTGAAAAATATAGTTACAATACCTATATACATATATTGCAAATAGGGAAGATTAAGTTCAGGTGGAAACCAACATTATGTAAATACTCGTCTGACATTTACATCAACTCTTAAAAGAGTTATCGTGTACACTGACGAACGGACAGACATACCAGTAGATAAATCGCTTTGGGTTTGAATTCCATGGTTCTTGTTATAAGTTAACTGTTGAAACGTTAGTTTGCAAGTTATATCAGTTTGAATACTTTTCAAATGAGGACTACAAAATACAGCTCCATAGATAAGACAAAGTCGTTCGGGTTTAAACTAGACCATAGAAACAATCCAAATTTTATTGAATTTTGATACTATCCAATTTTGTCTAAAAAATTTTTTCCCCACCTTATATTTTTCCATTCTTTCAAAATTACTGTTGCATAGAAGGTTTGGCGAGTATATTACACATAGCGTTCGTTCGTATTCGTAGTGAACCAAAAGACTATATAAACCAAGTTTGATCCACATATCTTAGTGGACGGACAGACATTCATAGCGGCTGCGGTAGCCGAGTAGGAAGGCGACCTACATCCGAAAGTTATGTAAAAGTAATTTTAATAAATAATTAAGTCAAATTTTCTAATTGCGGTCGCCCCTCGGCAGGGAATGTCCAGCCCTCCGAGTGTATTTCTGACATGAAATAGAAGCTCCTCGTAAAAAAACCATCAGCCGTTCGGAGGCGGCTTAGTATAAACTGACGCAAAACCACAAATTGGAGGAGGAGCTCGGCGGAAAAGCGCTTCAGCGGTTACAAAACGCCAATTACATATGTTAACCGTTAGTTGAACAAGCCTAATATACATACATATGTACTCTGTATACATAATTTAGTTAAGTAAAAGAATGTTTTGCTTTTCTGTTGAAAACTGTTCATTTGCCATTTGCTCTTCGCGAAAACACTTCAAATGAACAACAAAATAAAACCGAAATTTCTGATTCGCAACATTTGCCAGTTGTGTTGCCATGCAATAATGTTGACAGGCAGGGATAAATACTTGCTTTCACAATAATATTCTTCTCCACTGTTGTTGTTGTTTTAGATAATAGGCTCATTGGCAGAGCTAT